CCTTTAAATCGAGAGGAGTGATTTTACAGTCGGGACTCTTTGCCTTCAGGAGTGAAAGTCTTTTTCTCAGATGAAAACCGTCTGCCAGGAGCCAATCAGATGCTGTGAATTCTCCGGCCGTGTGACACGCTGCATCCGTTGCCATGGCGAGAACCCGCAGCTCACTGTAAACAACAAGCTGAGAGAGAGAGAGCGAGAGAGAGAGAGAGAGAGAGAGAGAGAGAGAGAGACAGAGAGAGAGAGAGAGAGTCAATTTACATATAACCAGCCAGTGAGTGTAGAAGCGTATTTCACACATAATTATTCTGCCTTTTGCTCAGGTTGAAGAATTATTTATTATCAGGGATCCAATAAAAAGTGATTCTTTAGATGTTTAAAAAAAAAAAAAAAACCTTGGTAACACTTTACAATAAGGTTCCATTTGTTAACATTAACCATGTAAAATACTTCTAAAGTATTTACTGATCTTAGTTAATGTTGATTCCCACATTTACTAATGCATTATTAAAATCAAAAGTTGTATCTATTAACATTATTTAATAGACCTGAGCTAACATGGACTAACTATGAACAGTTGTGTTTTTATTAACTAATGTTAACAAATATTAATAAATACTGTAACAAATGTATTGCTCATTGGTAGTTAATGCATTAAATATGGTTAACAAATAGAACCTTATTGTAAAGTGTTACCAAAAACATGTTATTTTTATTATTCTATTTATTTTAATGTATTTTTATTTATGATTTTTATCATTTTATTTTATTTTAATTGTTACTTATATAGTTTTTATTAATTTGTATTAATTATTTTTTATTTCAGTATTAGTTTTAGTTATTTAGGTACTTTATGTTAAAGGAACAGTTCATGAAAATGAAAAATATTTATGACTTTAACTATTTTTTTTTCATTTAAATTTATTAATTTTATCTATTTATTTTAAAATTTTAATTGTAACTTTAAGGAACCCATGAAATGGTTTAGATGAGCAGTTTTCCTTCCTAGGGATGATTTATTTCCTGTAGAAACAGGAAGTTGGGGAAGCACATTATATGAGTATGATCTGTACTTACAGGATCTCACAGATTCAGCAGCGGCGTCCTTCTTCAGCGATTCGTCCGTCTGAGTTTCCCGCATCTGCAAACACACGCTTTAGATGATGCTTCACTAAACGAGCGGAGCGAGAGATACGACAGTGTTTACCTTGATCAGCTCTTTGAGGTATTCAGCTCGACTCATCAGACTTTTAATCTGCAAGAGAAAATCAGGAGATAAATATTCATATTCAACTCATAACTCGAGTGATTAAACAGATGCATCTCGCTGCAAGGCACCCATACAGTGTTTACATGACACCACTAGATTTACTAGACATCAATCAATCTGATTCATAAAAGTGGTTTTGCATGAGCGAGGAGCAGGTTTTGTGAATGTCTGAGCGTCTGTGTTTTCTCTCGGAGCATGGAGATGGTTTTTTTAGCTGAGGGCCGCACGTTTAACCAATTATAATAAGGTCAGTATTGCCAGAAGTTAATTTTCATATCATTGACATACTATTTTTTTATTAAGTTTTTTATTTTTATTTTTTATTAATATTTCAAATTAGATTTTAGTTTCACATTTTGCATTTTCTTTTTAATTTCAGTTAAAAAGTTTGAGTCATTTTGTGTATTTTTTTAAAATGTCTATATAGTTTTTATTAATTTTTATTTCAGCATTAGTTTTAGTTATTTCAGTATTTCATGTTAACGCAACAGTTCACCCAAAAATGACAAAATAATATATTTTGAAGAATGTTGATAAGCAAACAGCTGCTGGTAGCCATTGACTTCCATAGTATTTATTTTTCTCCATACTATGGAAGTCAATGGCTATCGGCAGCTGTTTGTTTATCAATACTCTTCAAACTATCTTCTTTTGTGTTGAACAGAAGAAAGAAACTCATACAGGTTTGGAACAACTTGAGGGTGAGTAAATGATGACAGAACTTTCATTTATGTTTATTTATTTGCGCTTCAACGTTCCTCTGCTCATAGAGCTTTTTAGATGAAATCCTATTGGGTAAACTGACAGTGGGCGGAGTCACACAGACCAAAACAAAAACAGACATTCCGACACAGAACACACATTTCAAAGCAGAAAGACGAGTAAAGTTCGCAAACGAACTTTGAAGTTGGCTTGAAAAAGCCTTGTCTGAATGTTTGAAGCAGTTGTAAAAGCTTGAAGTTTGAAAGTTTAGATAAATGTTGATAGCATGTTGCTAGCATGATTTAACACATTGCTAACATGATTTAACATGTTGCTAGCATGTTCCTAACATGATTAGCATGTTGCTAGCATGTTTTTAGCATGATTACCATGTTGTTAACATGTTGGTAGCATGTTTTTAGCACGACTACCATGTTGTTAGCATTTTTGGCATTATTAGCATGTTGCTAGCATGATTAACATGTTGATAGTATGTTGCTAGCATGTGTTTAACATGACTTGCATGTTGCTAGCATATTCTTAGCACGATTAACATGTTGATAGCCTGTTTCTAGAATGATTATCATGTTGTTACCATTTTTAGCATGATTAGCATGTTTCTAGCATGATTAACAAGTTGCTTGCATGTTGTTAACATATTTCTAACATGATTATCATGTTTGTAACATGATTAGAAAGTTGTTAAAAATTTTTGCATGATCATCATGTTGCTAGTTCTAACCCTACCCCTATCCCATGATTAACATGTTGCTAACATGTTTCTAGCATGATTAGCATGTTGTTAGCATGTTTCTAGCATGAAAAAATGACATCAGCACCTTTAAAGCCTTGATATTGGAATGTGGTTTTTGTGCAGATTGCGTCTGATGCATGAGTCATGTGACAGCCGTTCATGAGCCCATAATGACATATGGAGCACTCAGGGTTTCATTCAGACGTCACAAGCACATAAATAGTGATCTTCTCACCTCGCTGTGGAGCAGCTCTCTGCGCCGGCCCTGAGATTCAGCTGCAGGAGACAGACAAACATATCAGCTCATAACAACACACACCACTGCGGACGGCTTCACTTTCCATACATATATACACACATGATAACACTGACGAATGCTGACTTCTGCTTTTAAACCTCCAGAGAGTAACTAGCGGGTTTTAGCACGTTGCTATGTAGTTGCTATGGTGTTCTGAGTGGTTATGTTGCTATGCAGTTGCTAGAGTGTTTTGAGCGGTTGTTAATTTGTTGCTATGGTGTTCTGAGTGGTTATGTTGCTATGTAGCTGCTATGGTGTTCTGAGTGGTTATGTTGCTATGTAGTTGCTAGGGTGTTCTGAGTGGTTATGTTGCTATGTAGTTGCTAGGGTGTTCTGAGTGGTTGTTAATTTGTTGCTATATGGTTGCTACATTGTTCTGAGTGGTTGTTAATATGTTGCTATGCGGACACTAGGGGTTCTGAGTGGTTTTTATAATGTTTCTAGATGGTTGCAATTATGTTCTGAGTGGTTACGGTGTTGTTATGCAGTTGCTAGGGTGTTCTGAGTGGTTCTTAATGTGTTGCTATGTGGTTGCTAGGGTGTTTTGAGTGGTTGTTAATTTGTTGCTATTGTGTTCGTGCTACTATGTAGTTGCTAGGGTGTTCTGAGTGGTTCTTAATGTGTTGCTATGTGGTTGCTAGGGTGTTTTGAGTGGTTGTTAATTTGTTGCTATGGTGTTAGTGCTACTATGTAGTTGCTAGGTTGTTCTGAGTTGTTGCTAATTTGTTGCTATATGGTTGCTACATTGTTCTGAGTGGTTGTTAATATGTTGCTATGCGGACACTAGGG